TTACAGATGGAGGCTCTAATTGTGAAGTTGCACGTCAACTTATCACTACTCAATATCAACATATATTAAACTTGCGAAGTGTTTCACATTGCTTGAATTTAATATCAGGTGATATTTTAAAACACAATTTTGCAGATAAAATTCGTCGAAAATGTTCAATTGTAGTTACTTTTTTAATAAATCACACCGAATACATGCTTTGTTATTAAAATTGATTAATGATAAAGGAATCCGAGGTGTTGGATTAAAGAGCTATGTTAAAACCCGTTGGACAAGTGTTTATGAATGCACATCATCAGTATATTATCTTAAATCATGTCTTGGATAGGTAAAATTATATGAAAATTTTAAATTAATTTCAAAAAATGATTTTTTAGAGAACAAAATCCAAACTTATTTAGGAAAATCTGTCAAAAATATTTTAAAATCACGTGGATTCTTTAATGATGTTTTTGATCTCGCTCAAGTCCTTAAACCAATTAAGAAAGCTATTATATCTCTTGAAGCTAAACAACAAATTTAGCAGATTGTTATCTAGGATATGTTAAATTAGCTGCTGCAATTAAATCAATTCCTCAAGACCAGCATTTAATATTTCATTGTTCATGTGTTACAATATTCAATAATCGATTTAAAGTTTTTGATTATGATGAATATCTCTTAGCATATTATTTGCATCCACAGTACCGAGGTTTGTTTTAAATATATAATTTTTATATTTTATTTTTTAAATTTTATTATTATTTAGGTGCTGGAATTAAATCATCTCAATTTGCTCGAATAGCTAGTATTGCAGGTCATTTATGGATAAAAATGAGAAGTAAAAATAGAACCAAACTTGATTTACTTAAAGCACAATTGCGTCAATATGCTTGAATGAAACACCACCATACAATGAAACAAATATTGATACTCTTTTATGTTGGTGGAAAACTTGTGGGGATGGAACTAAACATAATCCAGGTGTTCTTTCAACTTTAGCAATTAAATTATTTTCTGTCCGTCCACATTCTGCTAGCTGCGAATGTATTTGGTCATGTTGTGGGTGGTTTCAGGGAGAACGTTGAACTCAATTAACATCATCACATTTAGAATCCATGGTAAAAATAAATAGCTTTTTGATTTCAAATGCAAAACAAGAATTGCAATATTATGGTGTAGATTGACAGAAGAAGAATCGTTGGGTGTTTTTCAAGAAGCTGCTTTGGTAGCTGAAATTAATGATGATTTAGAAGAATTTGTTGGTCTACCTGATGATTCTAATATTGAATATGAAGATCAACAATTATTGTTAAACGATTTAATGGATTTAACTAATCCTGAATTTGGCAATGAAGATAAGGATTCAAATAGTGAGGAAAATGATGAAAATGATGATAATGACACAGATAGCAATAATGAAGATAATGAATTTGATGAAGATGAATTTGGAGCAGCATTTGTACAAAGTTTACAGAATGAATAGAAACATATAAAATTTGTGTTTAATTTTTTTAATTTTATACCATAAAAAATTTTTTTTAATAAATAAAAATAATGATATATTGTTAAATATTTTTGATATTGTTTAAATAATTGAACTGCACTGTCAATCAATGCCTGAAAAGGGTATAATTTAAAGCATTTTGACAACATTTAGGCATTTTGACATTATTTAGACTTTTGACATCAATTTAGACTTTTGACAAGTATTTAGACTTTTGACATCAATTTAGACTTTTGACAAGTATTTAGACTTTTGACATCACTTTAGACTTTTGACATGCCTAAATGTCAAATGACGAAACATTTTGACAAAGCTCAAAACGTTTCAACTAACAACTCTAACTATATATTATATACTATTTAATAAAAATAAAATTTTTAATCCTTCAAATTTTATATTTACATTTGCTGATTAAATTCTAACAATGATGTGTGGAAATAAAAACTCTGGTCCTTGTGCAATCAAGAGTTGTGATAATAATAAAAATCCTAAAGATGATGATAATCAAATTCTATTTTATGAATTAGTTCAATTAAGCTTATGGGGTAACGCCACTGATCTGTCACTACTTACAAATCTTACTCACGATGATATTTCAAATTTACAAAATTCTGACTCAAAAAATCTTGAAAAATATATTTTGGATAACAATTTGAAAGAGGCTTGGAATAAAATTTCAAATCATCAAAATATGAGAATTGATTTTATTTTAGATAATGCAGGGTTTGAATTATATGGAGACTTGATATTTGCTGATTGGTTGATTCAATCAGGCCATGCCTCTGAAATTCATCTTCATGTAAAAAAAATTCCATGGTTTGTGTCAGACACAACTGAATTCGATTTCAAATGGTTATTGAATGTACTTAAAGATAGCCATTTCTTCTCATCGCATTCAACAAGTGTTGAAGAAAATAATCATAATTATCTTCAATCTTTAACAGAGTTGTCAAATAGATGGGAAGATTATTTGAAAAAACAAATCTGGGTAATTAAATCTGATTGGTTTTGGACATCACCGTATTCTTATTGGCATATTAAAGAAATTGCTCCTGATTTATTTAATGATTTGAAAAATTCATCTTTAATTATCTTCAAAGGAGATTTAAATTATAGAAAATTGGTATATGATTGTAAATGGCCAACTACAACATCATTCAAAGAAGCTATTGGTCCTTTAGCTAATGAAATCGGTGTGCCATCAATTCTAGCATTACGGACTTCTAAAGCTGATGTTATTGTTGGTTTACCTGATGGATTGGAAGAACATTTAAATAATACTGAGAAAGATTGGATGTATTCTGGTAAATATGCCGTTATACAATTCAATGAAGGAACCAAATAAATAATTTCAATTATAAATTTAGAAATAATATTAATTACATGTATAGTAAATATATTTATTTTATTTAATATTGTTTGTACAATATCTACACAATTTTGAGTTGAATATTTTTTTTTTAATAATCTTGATAAACAATAAAGGTTG